TGGGCCCCTGAGAGCTGTGTGGCTGGGGTTTTGTGGGGAGGGGGTGGGTTAGGGGCAGGGCCTGGGAGCGCTCCCAGCTGGGCCTGGGCATTGGAGAGCGGAGGCAGCAGCTCACCTTGCTGGAAGGGAGTGGAGGGCAGCCTGAGAGTGACCTGGAGCTGGGGTAGGGGATGAGGAGGACCGTGTCCCACGTCTGTCTGGCCTGGTGTATACACGCTGGGCACAACTTTGTACGAACCTGTGTCACATCCCTGTCGGCCCACGGGTCTGTTTTCCAGCCGTCTGTGTCCGTGCCCACCTGTCTGTGTGCTAGACTGTGTTTATCTGTGTGAGTGTGCGCCAGGGTGCATCCGTGCGTGCCAGGGCTGGTACCTGTGTGCGTGCCTGCCTGTCAGCGTGAGTGCAGAGCACATGTTGTGTCCTTGTGTGTCCGTGTTGGTGGGTGGGGTGTCTGCGTACCCTCGTGTCTGTAGATCTACGTGGACGAGAGTCAGCGCGAGTATCCGAGTGTTCATCTGTGTGCCATTGTGGTCTTCAGCCTGCTTAGCAGTCCGTGTCGCTGTGTGTCCCCGAGGAAGCCCATTCTGGGCAGAGTGAAAAGGGAAAGGAAACAGGAAGCTGGGAGGGGCTAGCCATGTGGGCAGGTAGCACAATGGCCTGGTTCCTCCTGCCTACTTCTGGGGCGCCCTTCTGCCCTTTGCCTCTCCTGACTCTGGGTTTGGGGCTCTCCTGGCTTGGTTCCAGGCCCCTAGCACCTAGTGTCGTAGTTCTGTCTCCTGACTGCACACGGTGCCTCCATCAGGACCCAGCATCCTTCCCTCTCACGCCCTGCTCTGTCCGCCCTCCCCAGGAACGCCAGCGCCTGGAGACCATCCTGAACCTGTGTGCTGAGTACAGCCGGGCCGACGGGGCACCCGAGGCTGGGGAGCTGCCCAGCATCGGGGAAGCCGCCGCAGCATTGGCGCTGGCGGGCCGGAGGCCCTCACGAGGCCTTTCAGCGGCCACCGGAGCCTCTGGGCGGGGCACCGAGGAGCCCGGGGGTGCCACCCAGCGCCTGTGGGAGTGCGTGGACCGCTCAGATGAGGAGAATCTCAAGGAGGAGTGCAGCAGCACTGAGAGCACCCAGCAGGAGGTGGGGTGGTGGTGGGGGGGGGGCAGCACCTGCTGAGGGGCTGGGGGGCAGAGGAGGCAGGG